CAGAATTGAAGATTTACACAATAGGTTTTCAATCAAGAGGGGGTGGAGAGCCCGCTAGGAACAAATATTTTAGGACGACATGTCATGAAAACAAAAAAAATATGTCCCTATATATTTAGAGTGTAGAATTATTCGCATGTGCAATCCTACAATGCATCCTCTAGATCTTTTCCCTTTCCATTATGCTTTATTAATTTTACTTGATTTTCCTTGGTTCTGAAAATTCCCAGAAAACAAAAGATCTTATAAATCCAGCTAACCATGTTTCAGCTCTAGTCAATGACTTGAAGCACACATAATCTACTTCACACTTTTGTAAGAAGGCATGCAAGTGCATGGAGGATGGAGCAATAATCTTTATTTTATAATGTATTTAAATAGTATAGCTGGGTGGCTATAGTACGAATTTTTTTTTTAAAGTCAAAAAATAGTAGCACCGAGCGGCTGTACATATTATTGACATGTGGCGCCTAATCGATGGACGGTCTTCTTTTTAAAAAAAAAAAAATAAGTACAGCCGCCCGGCTATACTCCGTGTTTTTTAATTTTTTTAAAAAATAGACTTCTGTTGACACGTGGAGCCTAATGGATGTGGTCCTTTTTTTATATTAAAAAATAGTATAGCCGGTCGATTATACGTAGCTTTTTAAATTCTTCTTAAAAACGTATAGCTGTACGGCTATACTATTTTACACTGGGCCTTTGTGCTGTGCAGTACTCGATGTTTTTTCTATTTTTTTTAAAAATAGTATAGCAATGTGGCTGTACTGGTTTTTTTGTTGTTGTAATTTTTAAATTGTCTTTAATAAATAGTATAGGCGAGAAGCTATAGGCTTTTACATATATATACATATATATTGTTTGATAATACATTCGTGTTCTATACACATCTCACATTTTTTTTATAAAGCAAACGTACAATAGTCGTGTTGTACATATATGTACGTATTTGTAACATTTAATACACGTATTTAAAAAAAAATCAGTAAGACACAAAAATTCACGTATTATACAAATAATTCTCACATATGAATAAGAACAACACATGTTATAACAAAAAAAAAAATTGAAATATTGTATAGTGAAAGTCTAATATCTACTTTGGATATCTTGAAACTAGCAAATTAATATCTATAAAGTACAAACTAATACAAATAGGAGGGTCATTTTTCTTTTTCTTTTGTTTTTTATTTTATTAAATAGTATAGCCGCGCGGCTATACCTTTTAAATATAATGTATTAAATAGTATAGCCGGTCGGCTATACTACGATTTTTTTTAAAGTATAGCCGGACGGCTTTACTTATTATAGACACGTGGTGCTTAATCGATGGAGGGCCTTCTCTTAAATACTAATAATTCACTAAGTAAACAATAATTAAAACATAAGTAATAAATTAAAGTAATTAAAACAGAGAAATTCAGATTATGGTATTTATAGAGTATACCAATATGTTGTTTTGCGTCTTGGTATATGTTTCTGGATACATTAATTCTTGATAGTTTGAGGACTTTGATATAAATGAAGGCTTCTCTAACTACATGCATTAGCAGCCTATTCCAACGTAACATTTCAACACTCAAACATTGGGTAATTTTTACAGCTAACACTGAAGTACATAAGAAGAAAGCCATATGTTAATTCTAAAGCTTGAAGTGTTTGTCTCTGATTCAGTTATAGTAATAGAATGTCCTACACTAAATGCAGGCCTTAAATTATATCTTGCATGCCGTTCATAGTCACACAGAATATCTTTATCTTGGTTCATCAAATCTATCTCTCCCCCAAATTTGTCTAATTTATCTCTCTACTGGGGGGCAATTCTTTTGAGCATAAATCAAACACAACCCAAAACAAGTATTAAAAAAGAAAAGAAAAACAATAACTATATCAATCAACAAAAACGATTAAAAAGGAAGATCAAAATAGAAACCAAATAATAAATATAACCAACAATTGAAATATTCATCAAGTTTAATCTTTTCTTTTCAAAACCTGCCTAAGCAATCAAAAGTCGCCTTAAACAATCAAAGTCACAAAAGAACTATATTTACATGGTCGTTGTCATCAAAGATTTGAAAATTCTCTGCTAAACTCAGAGAATTTCAATTCTCTGCCGAACTCAAAAAATTTCAATTCTCAACATATGTCTGTTAATTAATGAAATAAAGACCAAAAGATGCACTAAAGGGTGAGGGGATGCATATCCGAAGACAAAGGATGCAAGAATTCCCAGCCAAGAGAGATAGAAAATGCCTGAGACGAAGGTTGTAGAAACGATGAAAAATATCACAACGAACAGATAAATCCATGAAATGAAGACCAAAAGGCCGGCTGGATTCGCAGCTCGCCTCCCCAAACAAAAATCAATGGTTGCCAAAGCATCTCCAACAATGAACGCAAATCTTCCATCTCTGTCCCCCAACCAGGCTAACCAGCTAGTTTGAAATCAAGTGGAGATGAGCTCCTTCTTTGAGTGAACGAAACGTTCGCAGGAAAAGAAAGACAAAAGGAGAAGGGGCAAAAAGGGAAGAGCAGAAAAGGTTAAGTGGAGGGCATTTTTGGCAATTCACTGTACTGAAGAGAAAACAAAACTGAAAACAACAGTTAAGCTTATTATAGGCAGATCATATGTATTGAGCTTATTAGAATGTTTTTAAACTTATGTGTTCTAGGTTTATTATTTTGTTTTTTAAACATATAGGCATTTTATTCCTAAAAATATAGGTGTTTTATTCTTAAAAATATAGGTATTCTATATTGTTTGTGTATGCCTTAATATGAATTTTTATTATTTTCATAAATATTACTTAGTTGTGAATACATTTATGGTTGTTCAAACTTAATTCAATTTTTTTGACCCCAAAAAAAAAATTAATTTAATTTTGAATTAGTAGTAAAACATGCATTAAATCAGAATTTTTAGTTTATTGCCCTATTTATTTTAAAGGGTAAAATGGGTAATAAAAATGAGAGATAAAAGTTAGTGGGTAGAGATAAAAAATTGCAAAAACCAGGGTTAAACCTAATAAAACCCAAACTTTTTGAGATTGGATCTAAGAACCCCTTCAAAAAACGACTATCATAAAGCAAACTAACTTAGAAATTTTGTTTGACTTGATACTTTTTTTTTTCTCGAAGGTGTAGGGTGGGGAGAGGGAGAGGTGAAAGGAGAGGGGGAGGGAGGGGGAGAGAGAGAGAGAGAGAGAGAGAGAGTGTGTGTGTGTGTGTGTGTGTGTGTGTGTTAATGTATGGTTTTTACTATTTTCTTTTGGCTTCCCTTGACAACTTTGTAATAGGATGTGTAATGTAATTTATCAAGCTCAAGTCTAGATTAGGGAAAACTTTTATTAGTGCTCTTCTCTAATCTCTGCTCTATGGTGGCTCAAGCAAGTTGACAAAGGTATTGAGCATTGCATATCATTACATTAAACAGTCTTCATAAAATGATGACTAGTCATTCGTTTCTCATATGACTAGTCATCCTTGCTTCCAGCTGGATAACAAACTGTTTTGTCCTATTCTTCTTTCTCTCTCTCTCTCTACTGCCAAGTGGGTTTCTGACCTAAGGAATTTTTTGGTCTGTAAAGGCTACGATTTTGCTCATTTGGCGGCTGTCTCTTTTAGGGAGGAAGTTTTGGAAAGATTAGCTTTCGATCTTTCTCTTCTTCTTCCTTAAGAGAGAACCAAATATTTCACCTATGAGTTTTTCCAATTGATATCTTTTTGAAAATACTTAAATCATCTCTCATTTATATCTAGGTCAGATTCAAGACTGATTTCTTCAAGAGTATGGTTTCTTGAAGAAATTGGTCATTCTCCTTTGAATACAAATATTGGTTTCGGTCTGTGTTGGAGCTTGCAAGCTAGTGCCATGGGATGAACGAGTTGGAGAAGGAGCTGCCATTGCCATGAAGAATTGAGCTTCAAGTTTTGCTAAGTTGGAGAAGAAGATTGCACAAAGGAGGTATTGCTCATATTCCTAAATAGACCTAAGTGCTTCTTGAGCTTGGTTGTGTTTCCTTTGTAAGAATCTTTTTCTACTTAGTGGAGTGCCTGGTCGGTTGATGACTCCCAGTTTTTCCCAATGGTGGGTTTCTGGGTGAACAAAATCTGTTTTGCATATCTGTAATTTTTATGGGTTTGTGTTCTTGGTGGTTGAATAGTCATCTTTATCTGCTGTTTGATGTTTACATGATAATGATGATTTCACACACTTTCACCATAGTTGTTGCTAGCAGAGAGGATGCCTAGATTGACGGGTCCTTCTGAGTGCCTAGGTTGTCACTAGTAATCTTCTAGGGTTGCAGGTACATTGTGGCATGCTCTGTGTATTCTCTTGGTTGTGATTATTCATGACTAGTAGTTGACTAGTCATATGTGTATTTGGTCAAGGTTTAAAGTGTGTGAAGATTGCTGTGTTGTTGTGTCTTGTTTGTGTGATTAAATTTACCCCTCGTCACCTAAGTACCATTTTCACAGAGAGAGAGAGAGAGAGAGCTATTTATAGGAGGATAGGAATGTATATAAAGAAAATTTAAGTTTTAGCCACAAAAACTTTCACTTTTGGAAAAAGCCAAAACTTTCCATAAAAAAACAGAAAAACTCTCAACTTTCAAACCAAAGACATGTAAATGTAAAGGATTGCTATGTACCATATGTAGGGAATGATCATTCTGCCCTATGCTGGCGTTTTAGGTGTTTATCAGTCTATATAATAGAAACCTGATGCATTTTATTTGTATTACTTAAGCAATATGTATTCTTTTTAGATTTCTTGTATGATACAAGCTCATAATTTGTATGTGCCTTATCTGGATCTATGTACATGTAATGCTGCTCCATTTCTTCCTCTGGCTTGTCTTGATCAGACGGAAATATTTTTTGTTATTTAATGACTGTGTTTTGTGGAAATATGTATTAAGAAAAAGGTAAATGTAAAACTCTCTGTTTTTGGGTTAATGTTTCTTCTCTTTCTTATTTTTTCTTCATTGTTACAGAGTTCCATGCAGATCTGGCATGTGTACCACACCGTTGCATGTCCCTTCTTCTCAATTGATTGCAAGTGAAATCTTTCCTATTCCAGTGGTAAAAGCCCTTCTCTTCCCTGGAGCTGTTGCAAATGGACTTGTAAGGAACATGACTGTTCCAAGCTGGAATACCGTATTAGACATCTATAACTTGACCAATGCAAAGGAATCCCCTCCAGTTACTGACCTTCAGCGCTTAGAGGTTCCATTTCTCAACAGACACTTTCCCTTTTCTGTTGTTTTAAAGGATATTCAATTTTATCTTGAGGAGGCCAGCCATTAGTCTTTGACTTCTGACAATATGAAGCAGTAATCCCATCTTTGTTTCTTTGATTAATTCATCAGGTTCTAGCGGGAAGCTACTTTGCTGTGGCTGGAGCCCTTGTGGGTCTTCTAAAACGAGGGAGGATGAGCATGTTTGGGACACTTCTAATGCTTTGGGGCCTCATCAAAGAAGGGATCCTCGGAAAGCCTGTGAACACAGATCCTACGAAAGCTGTGTTTGTCTACCCAACTATGCTCATTGCCGTAATCGCTGCCTTCTCATCTGTAAAGTATGATGTGAAGAAGGTTGTTAGAAGTGCACCTGCTAGGCCCATTGCAAAGCCTCTTATTAGGTCTTCAAAATCTAAGCTCAAAAGAGTTGAAATATGTAATCCATCAAATTTTTGATCAACTTTTGACAGTTAATGGGTTCAAATTGTATGTTTCAAATTGTACGCCTTCCTGCCAAGATTTAATTTAATTTTTTTCTGGAAAATATTATTGTCATTTTTGTTTGTCCGAAATTTCTCTTATAAATTTCAGTACATGGATTCAGAAAATTAGATAAATAAAGGGTTGAGAAAGAGGATGAATTTAGCACACTACCTATACTTCCTCTTAATGCTTTATCTAGTTGCTTTCAAAACAGAGGAAATGGCATGGCTATGGGCAGTGAGCTCGACTGTAAGAAAGTACAAAAGAACAAGAAAATTGTGGTGGCGTTACCTCAAGGGAGGAAAGAAAGAATAATGCTAATGACAATCGCTCGCTGGTGGTTGATTTTTAGGAGCCCTAGAGAAAAAGGAACCAGGAATGCAAAGTCTATTTCGGTCTTGGCCTCATTCAGGTCACGACTTGGCTTGACCCTCAAAATAAAAATTTGGCATGAACAAGAGTTTGATGAATCACCGTGGTTCACACCAATTTTAAAAGGGTAATTAGCTATAGGTATGACTTTAGAACTTTCCATTCAACACTAACGATCGATAAAATGATTAATAAATTGGATAAAGATAATCAGAAATGATGATCTCTAGATTCTCTAATAGAACCTACCTCGAAAAACAAATGGTTATACGTACAAGCCATCTACGTATACGTGTAACCCTAATTAGGAAGAAGGATGGGGATGTTAGGTAAAAGAGTAGATTAAAGCTTTAAAAAAGAAGAACATTTAAATGTCAAAGATAAGAACAAATATGTCCCAAGTACAAAAGAACAAACTGAGACATACATATGGATAAGTTTGATGAATCACCACGGTTCACACCTATTTTAATGGTTATAAGCCTAAGGCATGACTTCAGAACTTTTTATTCAACACTAATGATTGATGAATGATTAATAAAATGAATAAAGATAATCAGAAATGATCTACAGAAGCTACCCAGAAAAACAAATAGTACTCTCTGGATGCATAGATTTTAATGCAAGTTATCTGCTTATTGTCGAACACACAACAAACATACACGTTCCTTGAAATAGCAAGGAAGCTCTCTGATCTGTTGACCAAGCAACTCATTCCTATTACATATATAGCCCCCACCATGTTCCCATTATTGAGGCAAGATTTCTATTTCATATATCTATACCAGAGGAGCAAGCTGTCTGCACTGAGCTTTTCTAGAAATCTACCAGAGGCACAACAATCTTGGCCTTGTTTATACATATATACAAGGTCTGCAAATTCACTTCTCTTTTTGGCTTTTTTGCTTTTCATTTCGTATTGTTTCATTTGGTAGTTGGTTGTTGGAATTAAGCAAAGGGATGTTCTAAGTTTCTTCTTTCTTTCAATATTGGAATTTTGATCTGTCTATTGTTTTCTGTACTATCTGCTATTATTATTATTATTATTATTTTCTTCTTCTTCAGAATTTGCTTTATTACAAGCTTCAAAAGAGAATATAGCTAATCTAGCTAAATCCATTTTCGATCATTGACGTAGTTTTCATGTTAATATATATGAAGTATTATAAGTTCTCCATATAGATTTGCATTTTGTTTGCTTCTTCTACTTTATAAATGAGGTAAGCAGATGGACTTGTTCAAACTAGCCAAATTAAATCAATTTGAGAGGTTTTTTATTTTTTAAGTTTTAACATTAAAAAAGTGTAATATTGGACCGAACTGAGTCAAATCATAATTAGTTTGGTTCAATTCGATTTGACATAGATGGTATTTGCTTAAATAGAAAACTCGCCTTTGTTCTTTTTATTATTTTTCTGGCGCTTGGCATTTTCTTATTGGTTATCACTATTTACTACCTACACATCAATTACAGAATTATTAATTGTCACTTTGATGAAATGTTATATATAAGCTGTTAGGATGTTAGAAATTTAATTAGAAAAAAGAAAAAAGAAGATCGATTACAATATCAACCTAGACCATGCACACCCATACTTTTTTTTTTTTTTTTTGGTCGGAGCGTCTTGGAATGTAAGTAGTTGATGCAATATTTGTTGATTGTGGTGCCAGGATTATCATATCATCATTGCCATCTATTAGAGGAAAATGGAATTAATCAATCATGATCCATTAGTAACTTCAATGAGTGAGGTGTTGGATAGATTGCCTCCCCTGTCCCCTTCATGTTGCATCTACAGAGTTCCTAAGCGATTACGGCGCGTAAGTGAACAAGCCTACACACCTCAGGTAGTCTCTATAGGCCCCCTTCACCATGGAAAAGAAGCCCTGAAAGCCATGGAAGAGCTTAAAAATAGGTACCTACAAGATTTTTTACATCGGACCAATGTAAGTTTGGAATATTTTATAAGGAAAATAAGGGCCCAAGAAGCAAAACTGCGCAGTTGTTATGCAGAGACCATTGGGTTCAGCCGCGATGAATTTGTAAGAATCATTCTGGTGGATGCGGCCTTCATCATCGAGGTCTTGTTGAGGTTCTGTTACAAGCATTTGCGGGTTGAGAATGACCGTATATTTAACAAACCAAGGATGTTGGAGGATGTATGGCCTGACATGCGGATGCTTGAAAATCAGCTGCCTTTCTTCATTCTTGAGGATCTTTTCGATCATGAAAGAAATATAGTTGGCATCCAGACGACAATTATTGATCTTTCTTACCATTTCTTCAAAACTCTAATGCATATGAAGGACATGGAAGACATAGAAGACACTTTGACCCGGATACGTCCTCCTCATCAGGTAGAGCATTTTGTTGATTTTATTAGAAAGTTATATCCACTGCCTCCACAATTAAAATCGAAACTGCCACAAGTTCAAGGGCCATTCCAAACCCTAACCATAGGCATGATGTCATCATGTGTAATGGATGTACCACAAGCTCGAGGGCAACTTGAAACCCAAACCATACCCAGCATGACACAGTTATACCGAGCAGGGGTCAAATTTAAGATGGGGTCAAGCACAAACATATTCGACATTCGGTTCAATATTGACGATGGCATTTTGGAAATTCCAAAAATAACAATAAGTGATCAATCAGAGGTCACACTCACAAATCTCCTTGTCTTTGAACAAACCCTATGCAAGAAGGTAGAAAATTACATAAATGATTATGTTGTCATCTTAAACATTCTTGTGAACACCCCGGAGGACGTGGCGTTGCTTGTTAAGAATGGAATTGTTGAAAACAAGCTAGGTGACAGCACTAAAGCCTGTACTATGATCAAGAACCTTGCTGACGGCGTCATTATGGCCGATGAGTTCTACTTCACCACTCTTTGTGAAGACCTGAACAAGTACTACAGAATGTTTAGGCACAGATGGAAGGAATATTTGATAAAACATTTCTTCAACTCACCTTGGACAACTAAGGAAATCGTTGCAGCTGCTATTTTCCTAATGCTCACTTTCATACAGACGGTGTGCTCTATTATCTCTGCTGCGCAACAATAGTAAGTTTCTCCTTGGCCTTTAACTCCCCATATCCCTATCCCTTTGTTCATCACATCACATGTGCTGGTTTTCTACAGTCTTTGAGGTAGCGTCTAGTCTTTGAGAGAGGTGTAAGTTAGGTTTAATTTGCAAACTGTGATTAGTCGTCTATAGTATGGAAGAAGGCTTAGGTTTCCTTCAACTAAGTGTAAGAGAGATTTGAAGTTTGAAAAAAAAAAAATGTAGAAGAGTATTGGAATTTACAAGGTTAATGAGTATGATAGGAAGTTGATTTAAATTAGGAATTTCAGATAATTAAGTGAGAAGCCATTATTAGGCTCTCTCTTCTGATAATCGGTTTCTTATTCATTCACCAGATTCTAGCAGGAAGCTAATTTGGGGTCTCATCAAAGAAGGGATACTAGGAAAGCCTGTGAATACGTACCTAACAAATAAAGCTGTGTATGTCCACCCAACTTGGAAGTTGCTTTGCCCTGATCTCGCTGCATTTCCATATGAAAAGCATGTTGTGAAGAAGTGCCCCTGCTAGCTAGGCCCATTGCCAAGCTCCTGAAATGAGCTGAAATATGTAAATCCATCAAAGTCTTTTTTTCTTTCAAGTGTTCATATTTAACAAATTCAAACTGTATGTATCAAACTGTACGTTTTCTTGCCAAGACTTTTATTTGGCTAAAAATATTGTTATAATATATAATACTAAATTATAAACTGTTTCTCAGATATTTCTCTCATAAATTTCAGTACATGATGTTGGAAAGTTTTTTAAAGATAAATATAGGGTTGAGGAAAACAGGGGAAAAACAGGGGAAAAGAGCTTGCATTGGCCTCAGTCCCCCCCATATATGTCTGTCCAAATCGTCCCTTTCTTGAGCTTATAAGCCTCCACAACTTTTGTTTTGGTTGGTCTGCCTCCCCCTACGTCTTGAATACAACAGGAACAAATCCATTACTTCATATTTAATTTATTCCAACGAAATGCACTTTAGCCTTTCCGAGTGATACTAGTTTAATTAATTAACACGAAAAGGATCCAAATTTTATTTTTAATCTTTGAATCCAATACATATTAAAGCTAAATTAAATGTATATCCACCCCTTTTTTCATACAAACGCTATTTTATTTTAATCTAATCTAAACTACGGGAAGGGGGATTTGAACTCGGATGCAGAATGGGGAGCACATCCGCTTTAGCCAACGTAGCTAAACCCATGTTTGCACACAGTCCACCCCTTGGAACATCTCCATTAACCCCAAAAATGTTTATTAAAAAAAAAACAGTTAATATAAGAGTGAAATCAATGAAGTCATTAAGCCAAGCTTGATGGTAAAAACTGATCAAGAATAACATTTCTTTTGCATGTCGTGAAAGAAAAAGAAAAACACCGCTTTTCTGCTTTTATTATTCGAACCAATTATTCCCCGGCATGCTTTGAAGCTGGTTTAAGAATATCTACTAACTTTCCTCGCCATTATATATAAGAGTGTTGTGTGTGTATATTATAACAACAATATTAATGACTGACTTCGGTGCGGGTAAACGAGCAAATAAGAGCATAAGTCTTGATTTTCTGGTAAGTTTTTATTGCACGTGGTTTTGTATCTTTAAGTTTGTTTTATTTGTTGATGGTTCTTGGTTTGACCAAAGTTTGCTGTTATTACACGGCCGATCTGTATTGGTCATTTGTGACTGTGACTGTAAGACCTTATTTTCTAGATATGATATTAATGCACTTTGCTAGAGAACGTTGCATTGTTTTCGTATGTTTGTGGCTGAATTATGAATATAATTTATACTTTGATTAATTCAGTTAAACACTTGGTTTTGAATATAATATTATCATGAAACTATAACTATACAGAGAGGTTTCGTTGAGGGATCTCTCAAATAAGCTTATTTGAGGGACACTTTTGTAGAGTCCACTCCGTATTGTATTTCACTAATTCAAACAATCTATTTTGTAAATATTCATTCAAAGATTATCTCTATAAAAAAATCACTTGAATTCGAAATCATTTGACCACTCAATTGAATTTTTGAAATTTTAATACTTTCTTGAAGCACTGTATTCAAAGATTTTGTAGGACACAATTGGATGTCCAAACGGTTTCTGATTTGTCTAATTTTTTGCAAGGATGATCTATGCGTGTAGACTTAAAAAAATGGATGATCTAAATTGCTGGAAAAAAATTTGTAAGGGACCCTAAATGGTGTTTATTTGAAGGATCCCTCAATAGAAGGGAACTGTATATAATATATCCTTCTCATTGTTCTTCTTGCACATATCCATTTTATTGGAGTTTTAGTTTCTTATCTTTTGTTTTATAGTACGTAAGTAATATTCACAACAGTGCATCAAGAGGAAAATGGAAGGAAGCAATCAAGCTGCTCCAGTTGATGTAGAGAACCCATACATTCCATTAGAAACTTCCATGAGACAGGAATTGGGTAGGTTATCTCCTTTGTCCTCTTCATGTTGTATTTACAGAGTTCCAGAGCGATTGAGACTTGTAAATGAAAACGCATACACACCACAGGTAGTCTCTATTGGTCCACTCCACCATGGCAAGAAAGGGTTAGAAGCCATGGAAGAGCATAAAAAGAGGTACCTACAGGAATTTCTATGTCGGACCAAAGTAAGCTTGGAGGATTGCATAAAGAAAATTAGAGACCAAGAAACAAGATTAAGAAATTGTTATGCAGAAACCATTGGATTTAGCAGTGATGAATTTGTAAGAATCATTCTAGTAGATGCCGCATTCATCATAGAGCTCTTGTTGAAAAGCAATTTCAGGACACCGAGAAAAGAAAATGACCGCATATTTAACAAACCAGTGATGTTTCATGATATAATGACTGACATGCAATTGCTTGAGAATCAACTACCATTCTTCATTCTCGAGGATCTTTTTTATCTACAAGAAGGTACACTCTCTTCTGATTCTGACACTTCTGATGACAGACTTTCAACATTTGTAACTGATCTTTCTCTCAAATTCTTCACTTCAACAATGATTCTGATGTACCAAGCAGATCAAGAGTTCATTTTAAAGAGATTAAGTTCTACAAAAAAAGTAGAACATTTTTTGGATCTTATTTTAAGATCGTTATGCCAATCAGAAGTTGTTCCATCAATACCATTAGAAGATCTAACTACACCTAGCGTGACAGAGCTATACCAGGCGGGAGTGAAGTTTAAGGTGGGATCGAGGGAAAACATATTTGACATTCGATTCACTGATGGGATTCTGGAAATTCCAAAGATCGCAGTAGAGGATCACACAGAGATCTCACTTAGAAATCTTCTTGCCTTTGAACAGTGTCATTACCAGCACTATTATGTATGTGATTATATGATCATGATGGATCGTTTTGTGAACAACGCAAGTGATGTGGATTTGCTTGTTGATCGTGGAATTATTGAAAATGTTCTAGGTGACAGGAAAGAGGTGGCTGCTCTATTTAATAACCTTGGCATTGGGATTTTTGGATCCCCTGACTTCACATTTGCTAATCTTTGTCAAGACCTGAACAGGTACTGCAGTTCGACAAGGCACAAAATGATGGCAAATTTGAGACACAATTATTTCAACACACCTTGGCGAACTCTCTCTGTCATTGCTGCTGTTGTTCTCCTCATACTCACTCTTATCCAAACTGTGTGTTCTATTATCTCTGCTGCTTGAGATATTAGACAGTGTTCTCTATATCTTTTCCCCACAGCCAGGTTCCCTTAAAGCAAGTGTGAGATTCGACCCAAAAAAAGAAAAGCAAGCGTGAGAGAGATTAAAAAGGAAAAATAGAAGTTCCTATATTAGACTATATAGTGGTTTCTTTGTGAGTTTGGAGATTTTATTGTGTGGTTTATCTGTCGTAACTTTTTAGCTTGTGTGTGGTAATGAGAGATTCATATTTGTGTTGAAATTTGTAGCGTTTTTCATATCTGTTGGCTGACTTTTTTTTAGGACCTTTTGTAACCTGGACAAACTTTTCTCATGTACATTACATATCCGGAATACAGAGGAAAACAGGGGAAAAAACAGGGGGAAAAGAGCTTGCATTGGCCTCAGTTCCGCCCATGTGTCTCTCTATTCTTGCATGATCAATTAATGCCATCCAATCCAATGAATCCTCTAGATCTTTTCTCCTTATTACCCAAACAAGATGTCCTTTACCCTTTTCAATCCGTATTTTTACTCGATTTCCCTTGGTTCAGATCGATAATGAAAAAATTCCTAATGAACAAAGAGGGCAAGTGCATGAGAGTAAACAAGACAAATCAAATTGGATTTGTCACAAAATGAATGGAAACCGCAAAACAAAGAGGTCAATCATTTGGACTTGTCGTTGGTTTTGTATTTACCCCGGAGGATGTGGCGTTGCTTGTTAAGAATGGAATTGTTGAAAACAAGCTAGGTGAAGCACTAAAGCCTGTACTATGATCAAGAAGCTCGCTGACGGCGTCATTATGGCAGATGAGTTCTACTTCACCAGTCTTTGTGAAAACCCGAACAAGTACTACAGAATGTTTAGGCACAGATGGAAGGAATATTTGATAAAACATTTCTTCAACTCACCTTGGACAACTAAGGAAATCGTTGGAGGTGCTATTTTTCTAATGCTCACTTTCGTACAGAGGGTGTGCTCTATTATCTCTGCTGCGCAACAATAGTAAGTCTCTCCTTGGCCTTTTCCTCCCCATATCCCTATCCCTTTGTTCATTCACATCACATGTGCTGGTTTTCTACCGTCTTAGAGGTAGCGTCTAGTCTTTGAGAGAGGTGTAAGTTTGGTTTAATTTGCAAACTGTGATTAGTCGTCTATAGTATAGAAGAAGGCTTAGGTTTCCTGCATTTGAGTGTACGAGAGATTTGAAGCTTGAAAAAAAAAATTATGTAGAATAGTATTGGCATACTCTTACACTTCATTTCCTTTACTAATTGGAATTTACAAGGTTAATTATTATGATAGGAAGTTGATTCAAATTAGGAATTTCAGATAATTAATTGAGTGAGAAGCCATTATTAGGCTTTCTCTTCTGATAATCGGTTTCTTATTCATTCACCAGATTCTAGCAGGAAGCTAATTTGGGGTCTCATCAAAGAAGGGATACTAGGAAAGCCTGTGAATACGTATCTAACAAATAAAGCTGTGTATGTCCACCCAACTTGGAAGTTGCTTTGCCCTGATCTCGCTGCATTTCCATATGAAAAGCATGATGTGAAGAGTTCATATTTAACAAATTCAAACTGTTTGTATCAAACTGTATGTTTTCTTGCCAAGACTTTTATTTGGCTCAAAATATTGTTATAATTGTATATAATACTAAATTATAAACTGTTTCTCAGATATTTCTGTCTTAAATTTCAGTACATGATATTGGAAATTTTTTTGAAGATAAATATAGGGTTGAGGAAAACAGGGGAAAAGACAGGGGACCACCCCCACCCCAACATATGTCTCTCTACTCTACTCTGTCCTTATAAGCCTCCACAACTTTTGTTTTGGCTGGTCTGCCTCCCACTACTTCTTGAATACAACAGGAACAAATCCATTAATTCATAGTTAATTTATTCCAACGAAATGCACGAGAACCACTGTAGCCTTTCCGAGTGATACTACTTTAGTTAATTAACACGAAAAGGATCCAATTTATTTTTCCCTTCGAATCCAATACATATTAAAGCTAAATTCGATGCATTCACACACTCCACCCTTCGAATTCAATACTGTTTTTATTTTTTTTATTTTAGACAATCGATATTATACTTTAATCTGATTGAAACTACTATGAGGGGGATTCAAACTCGGGTGCAAAATGGGGAGCACATCCATTCTAGCCAACTTAGCTAAACCCATGTCTACACACAGTCCACCCTTGGAACATCTCCATTAACCCCAAAAATGTTTATATATAAAAAATAAAAAAAAGTTAATATAAGAGTGAAATCAATGAAGTCATTAAGCCAAGCTTGATGGTAAAGAACTGATCAAGAATAACATTTCTTTTCCATGTTCTGAAAGAAAAAGAAAAACACCGCTTTTCTGCTTTTATTATTCGAACCAATTATACCCCGGCATGCTTTGAAGCTGATTTAAGAATATATAAGAGTGTTGTGTGTGTATATTATAACAACAATATTAATGACTGACTTCGGTGCGCGTAAATGAGCAAATAAGAGCGTAAGTCTTGATTTTCTGGTAAGTTTGTATTGCACATGGTTTTGTATCTTTAAGTTTGTTTTATAGTTGTGGTTCTTGGTTTGACTAAAGTTTGTTGGCGTTACACGGCGGATTTGTATTGGCCATTTGTGATTATGGCTGAAGTAAGATCTTTTTTATTAGATATTATATTAATGTTATTTGCAAGAGAACATTGCATTATTTTGTTGTGGCTGAATTATGAACGTAATTTGTACCTAATTAAAAGAGTATTTTTTTGATATGAAAACGGCTCAAAGAGTCAAACTGTAAAGTTTTGCCGCCACCGGTCAAAATAGTTGAATGATGATCAAAATGGGTCATTCTACCTGAGGGTTTTGTTGAGTTACTTATTTTAGTTTTAAGTTTTTCAAATTTTCAGATAAGAATTCACAAAGAGTGTAAAAGAAAATTGATGGGTTGACTTAGAACTTTTTTAGGTCTGAGCAAAACTTTTCGTAAATATATTAAAAGGAAGCTGTAAGCTAACCTGTCGTCTAAAGGAATCATACTTTTTTTATTTTATAATTATCATTAGTAAAGATTTTTTTTTTTTAATGTGGAAGAAATTAAATCTACTTCTTACATATAGTTCATCATTCTTCTATTAATAGGAGAAAATTTCTACCTCAAACTATCTGCATTGAGCTTTTCTGATCAACTACCAAAGGCAAAACAACCTTAGAGGTGTGTTTTATTCACTTCCATATATCTCTTTTCTTTTTCAATTCAAATTAGGTTGTTGATTACATATGTTCATGGTAGTGGGGGAACTGGAATTAAACAAAGGTTATGGGATATTGTAATTTTCTTCTCTCTCTCTCTCTCTCTCTCTCTCTCTCATGGAAATTTGGTCTGTATCGCAATGTTTGATTGGAAGCATAAGATCTAAATAATCACCTTGTTTGGATCCTCTTAGACTGAGCTAAACACGTGGACCGATCAATTCTATTTGAGCTTGACACACATGATTTTTTTCGTGCAAGACTTAGAATTCCCACTATTTTTTCAAGATATCCACAATATATATTGATCCAAACTGTCTAATTTAAATTAGGTGACTATCTAAGAAACATCCATGCAAAACAAGAATAGATGAAAAGGTTTGACCAAAGTCGAAATAGTTTAACGACATAAGTATCATAAGAATTTGAGGCCATCGGAGCCAAACCTTGATTCCCCCTGCCTGATAAAATGATGAATATGAAGTCTGTGGGGGCTGCAGGGCCATCTTTCCTTTGACCAACGAGTCCTCGAACCAACCTGTTACCTTACAACTAAGATTTTGCCTCTTTCGGCCTTTCCCTCTTTCTTCATGATGTTTTTTGGTTTTTGTTTTCAAAAGTTTGCTTAAAGCATCTCCAACGTTCATAATGAAATATTTGAATCACTGTATGATCAGGAGGAAAATGGCAGAAATTGATGAAGGTCCAAATGACATAGAAAACCCATACGATTTGATGCTGGAATCGGGTGGCTTCTCCTGTCCCCTTTGCGGGGTATCTACAGAGTTCCTAAACGACTACGGCAGGGAAAAGATGATTAAGCCTACACGCCTCAGGTAGTCTCTATAGGCCCACTTCACCATGGAAAGGAACACTTAAATGGTATGGAATATCACAACAGGAGGTATCTACAAGGTTTTCTACGTAGAACCAAGATACAATTGGAGTTTTATAAAAATAAAATAAAGCTCCAAGAAGTAAAACTGAGAAGTTGTTATGCAGAACCGATTGGGTATAGCAGTGAAGAATTTCTAAGAATCAATCTAGTGGATGCCGCCTTCATTATTGAGTTTTTGTTGAGGTCCAGTAGCTTGCCAAACAAGGTAATTGGGCCACAGGAATTTGCAAATCCCATGAAAGCCAAAATCCCTCATCCAAACAGACCAAGGATTCATCAAATTCTTTTTTCTTTCAACTGTTCATATTTAATAAGTTATGTAACAAATTTTACATTTTCTTGCCAAGACATTTTTTTGCTTGGAAATATTGGTATAAATTGTATATAATATTAAATTGTTTCTCAGATATTTCTCTCGTAAATCTCAGTTCATGAAATTAAAAACTCTTTTAGACAAATATAGGGTAGGTTGAAAAAAATGAGATGAGTAGCACACTGCCTATACTCTACGTAGTGTTAATATGGACAAACTTTCTCGTGTACATACATATCTAGAAAACTGGGGGAAATGGCATCAAACCTGCTTGCAAACTTGTGGTTTTCTTTCTCTGGGATGTGGAACTGGATCCAAAATCTAAATAATTAGGAATTGAATGGCTCCGACTAAAAAAATAAATTAAAATAATTGAACGTACGTTTGGTTCAGTCTTGTCTTATACAAGTCAACCCAAGTCCATGCTCAGCGTCAAAAAGATAAGGTACGTAGCTAGAAGACGTTAATTCAATCTGGCAAAACGCCTCACATAAACATATAAAACAAAAAGTTGTTCTACGTAGCCCATCTACCAGAGGAACCAAGTAAGCTGCATTGAGCTTCTCTTGTAATCGACCAAAGGGAAACCAACTTGGTCCTTTGAACATACAGGTCAAAATATTATAGGTGACAGTAGCCAGGTGAAAATGTAGATTTAGGGCTAGTTTGGCATTGCTGTGCTGTGAAAATAATCGCTGTTAGATTTAATGTGAAAGAAAACAGTTTGGCGTATGGTAAACTTTTTGTTAAAAGTGTTGTTGGTATTGATTTCCGCATATTCAGAAAATTATTGCCGCATAATTATTAAACCCATCGCCTCTTCAAAACTGATTCCTGCATAATCAGAAAATTAAAGCACCTTATTATATGCTTTCCCTTATAGCTTTCTCTCACATCAAT